TATATATATATATGGTTTTTTTTTCTAAGTGGGACATAAAACTATACAGAGTGAGATCCTAATCTTGTTATTATAGTTATGATTAGAATAAAGCCTGAAAAGAAAACAGAAAATACGAACTGTTATTATTATGCGTAAAAAGCAAAGATGTCACTTTGATGACTAAGGTGCACCTGATCCAAGTCATGGTCTTTTCAATCACCTCATATACATACGAAAGCTGGACAATAAAAAAGGAAAACAGAAGAATTGATGCATTTGAATCGCAGTGTTGGTGAAGAATATTGAATATATTGTGGACTGCCGGAAGAACAAACAAATCAGCCTTAGAAGAAATAACAACCTTAGAAGCAAGGATGGTGAGACTTTGTCGTGCTTACTTTTGACACATCATCAGAAAACACCAATTGCTAGAAAAGGACATTATGTTTGGTAAAGTAGAGGGTGAGCAAAAAATAGGAAACCCCTCAATGAGATGGGTCGACACAGTGGCCTCAACAATGGACTCAAATATATCAAAAATCATGGAGATGATGCAGAACCAGGCAACATTCATTCTGTTATATAGAAGATCGCCATGAGTCGAAGTTGACTTGACCGCAACTAACAACAACAATCATTCCTACCAGCATCCATTGCCACTCTCCACTAGTACCCCAATTTCCTTTTGCAAAGTCACCTCCTCCTTACATGTGCATTAGGGGAGCCAAAGAGAATCTCTGGTGATTCCTTGGCCAGATCTTCTCTTATGCCAGTCCAAGGAGCTTGCACGCATCCTAAGATGAACTAATAATACCTTCGGCTGAGTTACATTAGGACAGAAAAAATGTCAAATTTCATTCATTCCTATGGTGGTACCTGAACTAGGCAATCAAGTTCCTAACACTTTAATGCCTAGAGCTCCCCTTTTTCTTATTCTATTTCTTAACTGGTTCTTTGGCCTCCTGTCCATTCTGGAAGCTTCCTTATATCCTTTCAATACACTTTCTTTCTCAGCTAAATTCACAATTACTGGTTTCTTTTGCTTATAATCAAAGAATCTTAACAGACACATGACTATGTTTTCTATTTTTCTACAGCCAAAGTGTTTTGCCTTTATATTAAAAAAACTAAATAGATAAATAAAATTAAAGACCTATTCCTAAACAGTAAAAGACATTGGTCTCAAATATGTTTGAATAAAAGAAAACCTGGGTCAATTGTCTGCTTTGACCTCGAAACCATCACTGCTCCTAGTAAATCACCCTACCCCATGGTGTCATTCCACGTGGACAGTAGATCAATAGCATTACCTTCATTAACAAAGAAAATATTTAAGTTTATGTTTCTGATGATTGTGTGGCCAGTGAGAGCCTACCAAAGCAATACTTGGCTTTATATTGGAAGAAAATATATTCTTTTTTTTCCTCATTTAACATACTCATTAAATGTTTTCTCCATGCCATTCAGTGGGTTCACAATGATAACAGTGCCCAGATACAGCTCTTTAGGTGTTTCTCACTGTATAGTGAGATAAATGCATAGCAGATAAATTGCAATAAAACATAGTAAGTGTTATTAAAGAGATATGAACAAAGCACCAGGGAGTCGAGTGGAGGAGAAAGATGAACTGTAAGCTAAAAGATTCTAATGCTAGAAAGTAAATAACAAAGACTCAGCCCTTACTGTTGTATTTTAGCTAAAAGTATGCCACAGTCCAACTGTAAACACACTTACTTGCAAAGAGGAAGACCATTCTAATGCAAAAGTATGTAAAACATGCTGTTATCCTTTTCGTGGCAAGATCATATTTTTAAAACATATCTAATAAGTTGTAGATATTAGAATGCTTAGAGTTGAATCAATTTAAAATGCCTTGTAGTGTCCTTACAATCAACTTATTTTAACATAATAAAAGAAATACATCTTTGGTAGCTCCTTCTAATGAACCTTTTTAGAATTTATCTTAGCTTTGCCAAAATCCATTCTCCATTTCCTTAATAAGAAGGGACCTGAAGAATTACCTAGAACTTCCCACTGAAGGGCCTCACTCAGCTCTGGTTTCTTTGTCATGCTTTGGGTAAGATGGGTAGAGTTCCTTCAACCTATCCTAGGTTTCTTTCTCTCAAGACATAATCTGATACCTGCCCACGTCAACATGTTGGCAGAGGTAATGACCTACTGTATCACTGCTTCCAGGTACCATGATTGAACTTGAACTGAAACCTTTTGAAGAAAATATCCTAATCGAAAGAAAGAATTATGATCCTACTGGTGGAGATTTGATACTGATAGACCAAACAAAGAAAAAATAAATTTCTAGGCCCTAGGCCCTACCCCTAGAAATTCTAATTCAGTAGCTCTGGGGTTGTACCTTAGGAAAACAAATAAATACATCTCTATACTATATATATATATTTTTAATCCTCCCATCTTAGAATACATTATCTTGGTGGAGAAACTTGTATACTTAAAAGAAAAACCCTGCTGCCGTCAATTCTGACTCATAGCGACCCTATAGGACAGGGTAGAACTGCCCCATAGGGTTTCCAAGGAGAGACTGGTGGATTTGAACTGCCAACCTTTGGTTAGCTACTGGGTTCTTAACCACTGCACCACCAGGGCATTGGTTACTTAGGAATGATGAAATAAATAGGCATTGCCTATTATTACCCCAATATACCTATATAATCTCCAAACAAAAAACAAGCCTAGGAGCACACAAACGCAGCTGTTTGGGAACAGGCCAGGGGAGAAATTGTTTGTGTTCTGTGCCCTCCTGCTTCCACTGTCTCTGCCTTTCTGGGGTCATCTCTCGTCCTCCACAGAAGGAATTAAGCAATAGTAATAGAGAATGAGCTTAGGAATCAAACAGTCCTAGGCTGATAAGTAGACTCTGCCACTTAGTAAGGGTGATCTTGGACAAGTTACTAAATGTCTCTGAACCTCAGTCTCATCATCTGAAAAATGTGAATAATAATTCCTTCCTTGCAAGGCTCTATGAGAATTAAATGATGTCATATAAGTATCTCATCTGACACATAGAAGATACTCAATAATCAGAAGCTATGAGTACACTTGGAGTCATGCTTTTGTAAATGGTAGCAACACACCCAACCTTGTCCTTCCCCAAAATAACATATGCTTCAAAAATATTTCTTCTTTACCTTTCCAAACCCCACAATAAACGGGGAAAAAAAAAAACTTGCCTACACCCTCTTTGATAGTACAAACCTAAAAATGCCAGATGATGGTCTAGTGTTACAAAGTGCTTCTGCTGAAAAGAACATACCTGGAGAGTCAACATTTGACTTTAAAGGAGTGTCTGTGTTCTGCCCTGGTGACGCAGTGGTTAAGAGCTCAGCTGCTAACCAAAAGGTCAGCAGCTGCTCCTTGGAAACCCTATAGTACAGTTCTACTCTATTCTATAGGGTTGCTATGAGTCGGAATCAACTCATCAGCAATGGGTTTGGTTTGGTTTGGTTGTTCTGTCATACTTCGTGTTCTGGAATAACTGGCATTGCCACATGTCTATAGGGTTACCCACACCAGGTATTGGTGGGCTTACAGGCTTCAGAGAAAGGCAAAAGGGCTGGTTTCAAGTCTCATCACAGACACATGCGACCCTTCTGTGGGCTCATGGAGTTGATGTCTGTGTGTGTATGTGTGTGTGTGTAAGCGAGAGAGACAGACAGGAGATCTTGTGGGTTATCACTGCCTGCTTCCATATTCATCCAGTGCTCAGGCTGGAACTCTAAGTATTTTTGTTACTCATCAGCATTTTTAGAATTAAAAAAGGAGAGGGCTGACAAGGATCTCAGAAACCCATCAGTGTACCATTTTATAAGGTATATTCTGTGGACTAACGATGGAATCCCTAAAAATGGGGCCTCTTAAAGATTCTTAAGCACTCTCAAGATGGAGAATCACTGAGTTTTCAAAAATGAGGCTATTAAGACCTGGAGAAATTAAATGATTTGTCTAAAAGAGGATTTCTCAACCTCAGCACTACTGACATTTTGGACTGAATAATCTTTTGTTTACTGTGCACTGTAGGATATTTAGCAGCATCCTTGGCCTCTACCAAGTAGATGCCACTAGCAGCCCCCCAGTTGTGACAACTAAAA